GGTTTAAGGACGAGGATTTGACCTGCCGAGGGAACACCGAGTCTGCTGACCCAACAATCAATTATTTTGTTAAAACTCGATAATTATCCTAATTATATGTTAGATTTTTTATATTTTAAAATGAGATGTTTATCCTCTATTTGATTATGTTTAACCGAAGTTAGTTACACGAATCAAACATGGAGCTTTAATAAGTTGTACTTATGTATAATTTATTTGTAATCTTGAATTTTAAGTAATATGCATCAGTATACAGTACTTCATGCATAAAAAATGGTTTTTAAGAGTTTTTATCAAATGCTTTATAATATAGTATAGATATGTAGGGGACTTTTCATTTATTAATAGTGCAACTCTAACAAACGTTACAAACCAATCGTACTCATTCATCTAGTCTAATAAATATCTGGTTTTATTTGGTTTCCTAGTCCAAATCCATGGTCATAATAAATGAACCTTATTATCTTTCTATCAAATGAATCATGATAATTGTTCATAAATATCTCAATTGTTTCTTAATATAATGGTTTGTAAGAATTACATAGTTTGTATTGTTACCACCCTATATATGTTTATTTATATTTACTAGAAGGTACTCGTACAATGCAGAGAGATATATCTTCATTTTAATATTTCGTTTTATATTTTATCTTTGTTGATATAATATTTTTACGTTTGAATAAAAATAAATTTGAAGACATCATAAAAATTTGAAAAAATATATCGATATTAATATCAAATTAATTATTTAAAAGTTCCCGTTTTTTTAGTACAATCTATTTAATTCAGTTTTTATTATATTTTAATTTAGGTGAAATAGTGAAGTAATTTAATTTTCGCTTAACAATAAAATTTTATAAAGATAATGATTATGTTAGAACTTAATGATTATCTTAATTATATTCTAGACTTTTTATATTTATCATGTATTTGATTATGTTTATCTGCAGTTGGTTATACGAATTTAAAAATGGAGCTTTAATAAGTTGTACTTACGCACAATTTACATGTAATCTTAAAATTTTAAGTAATATGCATTAATAAACAGTAGTTCATGCATAAAGAATGGTTTTAAGAGTTTTTGTTAAATGTTTTATAATATAACTAGAAGCGTACTCGCGCAATGCAGCGAGATA